AGAGAGAGAGCACAGTAACCAAAAGTGTTCGAAGCCAAAGAAAGAGCAGGATGGTGCTTTAGGGAACAGCATTTGAGCATGCAGATATCAAAAACAGCAAAAGGCTAAGAACAAGTGTGACATCCCCTGTGAAGCTTCCAAAGCCTGGAGACATCAGACTGTTTTAGTGGAGCAGCTGCAAGAATACTATTAACATGGACAAAATGCATTTTCCTCTTATCTCAAGCCATTTTTGCCAAAACTTTTGAAAACAATTCAGCCTCAGGCAGACACCCAACATGGAAAATTTCAGCCTGGTATTTGGCAAAGATATAAGCAACTGAGAACAGTGTTTTATAATGGGAGGAGTTGAGCATCGTTAAGTGTAGGTGGTACTATCAGCTCTGCCTGTTATATAAAAACTAATTTCCAGGACACTTCTCTGTGGAAAAGCAAGGCAAAGTTGTTATTGCAGATGAATCAGATATGGTTAATAAGAATATCAGAACAAACTTGTATCTAAAATTAGCAGCTGAGATATTCCTTGCCAATTTATATTATTTATTGGAAATATGAGGCACAGGAAAATGGTTGAATAAAGATTTACAAGTGTAAACTGTTTGGGGCAAAGTCTCTGCACTAGAAACCTACCCAATAATTTATCAGAGTATGTCCCATATTTCCCATATTCCATTCCCCCTTTGAAGAGGGCTTACTAACCTGATGTGGCTTACTGAACTGGTCCCTTCTATAAGATACATGTCCTTTTCATTATCCCAATAGAAGCTGGAGCTAGTCACCCAGGCTATATCTACACTACCATGTTATTTTGAAATAACAACTCCCAAAATAACTATTTCAAAATAAGCTTATTCCTCTTCAAGAAGCAGGAGTTACTAGGTTAACAAGACCATTATTTCAAAATAACATGTTTGGCAGTGTGGACATTCACCTTGTTATTTCAAAATAAGGAGAATTATTTAAAAATAACCCCCCAGTGTGTAGACATGCCCCCACTGAATACTCAGAGTTTTTTAGCAAACCTGCTGTCAGGTTCCATATCCAGATTTTTCTGAATGCCCTAAATGGAAATCAGTGAACACTGGCGAGGTGATTCTGGCAATAACTTATCTAGAATAAAACTGAACAGTGCTCTGATTTTGTCCATGTCTTTCTTTTTTCCCCCAGGAAGAATGCAGTGGAAATGGAACTAGCCAAGTGTAAGATGGACATGATGTCTCTGAACAGCCAGCTGCTGGATGCTATTCAACAGAAACTGAACCTCTCACAGCAGCTGGAGGCATGGCAGGTAGGTGAGGCTCAATATCAGTGCAAAGCAGAGCATTGGTGGCAAGCTCTTAACAATCATGGGCTCAAGGTGAGGGTTGTGATGGTTGAGGAAGGGAAAGTTCTACGGGTTCACTTATTCTTGTCTGTCAGCTCACGTCACACTTGAAACTAGAATATCTCTTGAAGATAAAAATTGTTGTTTCTCAGGCTATGTCTACACTGCAGGCTTCTTCCATAAGAGATCTTCTGCAAACACTGCACAAGAGCACGTCTACACTGCAAAAGTGCATCAGAAAAGTGATGCAGTTTGCGCAACAGAGCTTTCAGACTGCATAGTCGCTCTCTCGCAAGAAAGCTCTGATTGCCATTCGCAGAATGGCCGTCAGGGCACCTGTGCTTCTTCCGATAGGTTGTTTTTGTGCAAAATACCCATTTCTCTTCCACACGCACCTTTTTGCACAAAAGTTCGTGCACTAAAACACATTATTCCTGGTAGAAAGAGGACTACCTATACTGCAAAACCTCTCTGGTCTGTTGATTCACTGTAAACGTGCTTGAGGTGTGGACCATAGGCATGTGCACGGGGTGTGCCGGGTGTGCTCAGGCACACCCTAGTGTCTGGGGCCGGCTGGCGGCTGCTAGAGGAGGAGAGGGATTTGTAACAGGGCGCCGCACACCCTCACTTTAAATTCCCCGCGGCCATCAACAGGGCACTGTGGGGCAGAGAGCGCATGCGCGGCGTGCTAAAAAGCTGCACAAGAGGTGAGAGGGGAGATGCCCGGGTATGGCGTGGTGTGACGTCACTTCCCAGGACTTTCAAACTGTGCAGCCCAGCTCCAGAAGGAGCTGGCGCCCGACTACAAAGCTGGCCGGCCTGAGCCATTTTTGCACCCTGGGCCCAGCAGCACCGCTCTTTGTGCACCTAGGGCCTGGCTGGCCTGTAGTTTGGGCCAGCTCTGACTCCATCCCCAGGAATCAGAAGGCAGAAGCTGAAGGTAAGGTAAGGGAGGGGAGGGAAAGGGGGAAAAATAAGAGGAAGGGGTGGGAGAGGAAGGGGTTTGTGCTGAGGGGAGGGGGCAGGTCAGGAGAAGAAAGGGGAAGGCACCAAGGGACAGGGTAGAGGAGGGGCCTGGCTGGCCTGTAGTTTGGGCCAGCTCTGACTCCATCCCCAGGAATCAGAAGGCAGAAGCTGAAGGTAAGGTAAGGGAGGGGAGGGAAAGGGGGAAAAATAAGAGGAAGGGGTGGGAGAGGAAGGGGTTTGTGCTGAGGGGAGGGGGCAGGTCAGGAGAAGAAAGGGGAAGGCACCAAGGGACAGGGTAGAGGAGAGACAAATGCCAGGGGGCCAAGTGGAGACAATGAGGAAAAGGGCAGGAGGGGAGGTGTCAGTGGGAGGGGGGACAGGGTGATGCTGGGAGAGGAGAGG